TTGCCACCTCTAATGTATAACATTTCCATGTCACTTCAGATACCTGCCAAGTGCAATATATGAAGCTTAAGAGAATTCAGTTTTATCTCAGCAGAGGGCGTCCCTTCCTTCAACAAGAGGCTATCTTAAGACCTGCAACATAAAAGAGGTCATAAGAATAATCTCTAAGTCTAAAAGGACTAAATGAAGCTCATCCATTATCCAACCCAATGTTCTCATTTCCTGTGTGAACTCAAGTCCAGAGAACTGGTCAGATGTCCATGGTTAGCGGATGACTAAAAAGCAGGACTAGAATTCAGGCCTCCTATCCTCAGCTCAGGGCATTCTCCAGTATTCCCCACAGTCCTTTAATGCATATTTATTAAGAAATATTTATTAGGAATAATAAGGTTAACTCATTTACATTTAATGGAATTACTGATAAATTTGGGTTTTAATCTAGCATCCTATTTCATGATCGATATGTTCTGCTTCTATGATTCTTTTTCTCATCTCTTGACTTCTTTTGGATCAACTAAGATTTTTTAATCATTGATCTTCCCCTTTACTATTTTGGAAGGTTTACAATAATTATCTATTCTTTTAATGGCTGTCCTAAAAGTTATTACCATTTTCTATTTATTATTTCAGTTTTAACCTTTCATTGTTAACATATCCAAATATAATATAAATATTATTCTCTATCATTGGCCTATACAACTCAGAAAGCTTAGAACACTTCAATCCCATTTACTTACATCCCAATTAATTGGCACTTGACACAATTAAAAATTCTACATAATTTTAAATTCTGTAATCTGTTTTTATTGTTTTTTTATTCCTCATTTCTTCCTGAGTCTCAGGTTTTCCATCTGGATCATTTTACTTGTTTCTTTTTTTTTTTTTGAAATGGAGTCTCACCCTGTTGCCCAGGCTGGAGTGCAATGGTGCAATCTCAGCTTACTGTAACCTCTGCCTTTGGGGCTCAAGTGATTCTCCCACCTCAGCCTCCCGGATAGCTGGGACTACATGCATGCACCACCACATCTGGCTAATTTTTTGTATTTTTAGTAGAGAAAGGGTTTCACTGTGTTAGCCAGGATGGTCTCAATCTCCTGACCTCATGACCTCAGCCTCCCAAAGTGCTGGGATTATAGGTGTGAACCACCACACCCAGCCCTACTTGTTTCTTAAATACATCTTTTAAAATTTTCCAAACTCACTCTCTTTTTTTTAAAAAAGTATTTATCTTTACCAAATATAATATAAATAAATATATAATATAATAATATATTAATAAATGGAATACTTCCTGGGAATAGAAATCTAAGTGTGCAATTGTTTTATCTCAACATGTTGACAATATTATTTTATTGTCTTCTGACTTCAATTATTAACTTTTAAAAGTCAGCCGTCAATTTAACTTTATTTCTTTAGAGGTAATATTTCATTTTCTCTATGACTGCTTTTAATATGTGGTGTGCTTACAGCTCAGTTTCTCTGGTTTTCCATGGTTTCACTATAGTGTGTCTGGCAGTGCTGTTTTTTAATTTATATTGTGTAAGCTCTATTAGGCTTCTTGAATCTATAGATTTATGTCTTTTATTAGTCCTTAATATTCTTGGCTATCATATCTTAAAACATTGCCTTCTGTCTGTTTTCTCCTTCAGACACAGCAGAGTTATTTTACAGTTTGTGACTAGTAATTCCAACAGACATTATTTCCAGTGATTATGGGTCTATTTGTGTTGTCTGTTGTTTCTGCTGGCGTTGCTCTATAAGCTCTGTTTCCATGTATGACTGGCTATTTTTGACAATGTGTTGGACATTGTGTTTTAAAGATTATTTGTACGAATTTTCACAATAATTTGAGGCCTAGAATAACATCCCCTTCTTCCAAAGAGGATTTTCCTTTGTCTTTGCCAGACAGTTGAGGTGCTACCAGTCTGGGTCTATCTCAAACCAAGATCGAGGCTTGCAATTTCCTGGACCAGCCAGGTGACATAAAGTCAAATCAAAATTATTTGCAGGGATTAGCTTACTCATGATTCACCTTACCTGGATCCTTTGGATCCCAACTTAAAGTGGTCATGGTTTATTAAAATTATCAATTCTGGTGGATTACAGGTCTTGCCTTTTGCCTCCTGGCCCCAGGAATTTGCCAAAAGTAAATTTCTTTAGGATTAACAAATGTTCTTAGGGCAAAATCAGATTTGAATGTTGGTCTTACTCTCTAGGTTCTCCTCTTCTAGATTTTGGTTTTGTAATTCTTCAATATCTTAATACTTTGATTCTTTTAAGAAGATTTTTTTATATTTCATTTAGTACTTTAGGTTTCCTTAGTAGAAGGATTGGTCCAAATTTTCTAATCATCAATTATTGTGAGTAGAAGTTTCAGTTTATGTATTTAACAGAAGAAATAATACTTTTCACAGTTTTCTATTTCTACTTTGTTCATCAAATTGTTAGTCACTATAAAGCACTTTACATATACCAAGAATGTAACATATCCTACAGAACCAAAATTGTTATGTAGCATTTATCAAGTTCCTTTAAAGGACCCAATCTGGTATGATATGAAATTGTTTATAAGACAATTTTAAGTTGTGACTACTTCAGGTGTTGGATATTCAGTATGATAAATGTGTGCTTCACCAATTCATAAAAATATAATGGAAGATTCAGTGAACTATATATGGCATACATACATAATGTCATACCCCACCAAGGGTACTTACTCTTTCCACTGAATGAAAGTGTCTTCCCCTTCCCTGGCCTCTTTCAAATCTTTTCTCTATCCTCATCTTCTCAATAAAGCCTTTCCTATATATCCTATTTAAAGTTGCAAACTCCCCCATCCCATCCCTGCATTTCTTAATCTCATCTTGTTTTTTGCTTTTCTCCATCTTGCATACTTATATACCAAACATTATATATCCTGTCTCTATCTATCACTGCCTCTCCAATCTTGATAAATCTACTTAACCTCTCAATTCCTCATTTTTCCTAGATATAAAACAGCATGAAGAAAAGCATTCCTCTTCTTCATATGGGTGTCTCACTGTGAGTATGGTGATCACAAAGGGGGTTACATTTTAATAAGATTGTTGCCATTATTATTGCACAATAGTTTTTTATAATAATGTGCTGAATTGTAGGAAATGACCACAAATTCCTTCTATATATATATGCACACATACATGCACTCCATTTTCTTAAATCTGGATAGCCTTATGACCTGCTTTGTGGTGGAAATGACACTGTATGTTTTAATTGCAGGCTTCAAGAGCCTCTGTAGCATCCAATTTTACCCTCCTGTAACCCTGGGACATTTACATGAAGTAGTCTGGGATAGCCTCCTTGAGAATGAGAGACCACATAGAAAGAGAGGCCCAGCCAACTCCTTCATCAATTGCTAGTGAGTGACAATGTCTTCGACCATATAATCCCAGTCAAGCCACTAGAAGAATGCAACAATATATGTAAGAATAAACAAGACCAGCAGAAGAGCTGCCCATCAATCTGAGCCTCCATTGCTGACCCATAGAACCATGCGCAAATAAATATAAAACTGAGACAAAAACTATTTGCTAGAGTAAAATCGACTATGTCTTAAAAAAATTTGAATAGTTATTTGTTCAAGAAGCAAAAGAATAAGAGTTATACTCCCTTTTATAGTAATAAACCTCTAGCTAACCAACTTTTCTGCAGATTATAATTTAAAACTTTAGAAAAATAGAAAACTATCTGAGGGCAAATAAAAGCAGGCAGATATTACAGAAGAGTTTATACTTGAAAAAGAGAATACCATGAGTTAAGTTTTATGTTTCTTTTTTTTTTTTTTATCCTGAGAGCAGGCTATAGCTGGTGCGACATGGGGATCACTGAAACTGTGATAGAAACCCACAGTCTTCCTGGCTTGCAGAACCAAATGTCAGAGTTCAAGGCAACCACAGCTTCTTGAAAATGAGAGGGAAATTCCATGAAGGAGATAATCACAGAGAGAGAAAGAGAGAGACAGAGCACACCCAAATGCTGCCTAGAAATTTCTGGTTGAACCCTATGTCTCACATTTGTGGGACAGAGCTCAAGCCTCTCAGCTGAGGAAAACAAAACAAAACAAAACAAGAACTTGGATTTGAGCTGCTGCCTACTTCAAGACATACCAGAATCTGCAATTTGAATTCAGCCAAGATAACTGCCTGCATAAAAAATCTGCACAATATTCCTCAGAATAGCATAACAAAATACAGAGTCTCTTCAGAGTATCATTTATAACAGCCAGAATACACTCCAAAATTGCTCAACATTTGAAGAAAAAAATATAACTTATTTATTCTCAAGAGAAAAAAAACAATTTGGAGATAATACAGGTGATGGAATTGGCAGACTAGATTTTAAAGTGGTTATCGTAACTATACTCAAGGACATAAAGAAAAACATACTCCTAATAAATGAAAAGATAAGAAAGCTCAATAAAGAACTAAAAACTATTTTTTTCTTAAAAGAACCAAATAAAAATTCTAGAATTAAAAATTACAATATCTAAAATAAAAAATATACTGGTTGGTCTTAACAGTAAAATAGAAATAACGGAAAATATCAGTAATCTTTAAAATCATTCAATAGAAGTTATTTGATATGCAGAACAGAGAGAACAGACATTGAAAAACAATGGGCAGATCCTCTGGGAACTGTGGATAATATGAAAAGGTCTAATATATGTGTAACTGAAGTCAGAGAAGGAGAAGAGAAAAAATAGTTCAGAAAAAAATATTTGAAAAGAAGTAAAGGTGAAAATTATTCAAATTTAGAGAAAGGCATAAAGTTATAGATTTGGAAGGAAAGCAGTTCCCAAGCAGAAGAGGATTAAACACACACCCACACCCACAACCCGCCCCCCACACACAGATACATTAAACTGCTAAAAACCAGAGTTAAGAAGAATAATCTCGAAATAACACAAAGGAACTTATTATAAACTCATTCTATACCAAATAAAATACTACATGCAGAGTTTTATGAATTTTTTTATTAAGGAAATTTTCAGTGTAGGAGAAATTGCTACTTTTCACTGGAGAAAAAAATCCTGGCTGTGAGGAGCTCATTCACACTGTCAGGGACCATGGAGGTGGGTGGTTGAGGAGCAGACTAATAGCCCTTCATTTACATTTCAGCTGGGGAAGAGCTTCTGGAGGAGACAGGATGCTATGAGCTCTCTGGAAGACAGAAAGATTTTGACATAAATAATTCTAAAATCAGGGAAAGAGAAGTGAGATCCTCATGGTAAACTTGAGAATGACCCAACCAGAGAATCTAGTGCCTTGGAGCCAAGGGAGTTTTTGAAACGGAATTAGTAGAAAGAAATTTGGGGGGAATGGGGAAGGCCCAGAAGATTTTGATCCTTTAACAGCATTTGTTTCCTCATATACTTTCCCTTCTTTCTCCCACAATTTAGCATAACCCTTTTCAGGGTGGGTCACTTTGAAAAACGTAAGGAGGAAGATTCTTTCCCTTCCTTTTCACCAACAGATCAGAGCTGTCCAGAGGTAGCTGCTCTGGGCAGTGTGTGGCCTCATTTTGACAGATGTGTACTCCTTAGTTCATAGAGGATGATGTTAATAATTGAAAACAAATAAATAATGAAACCTCCAAATGTAAACCCAAAGTTTGCTGCTTGTTATAATTGTTTTTCATACTAGACTGGAAATAGGGCTATTGTGTTTTTGTTCGTATGTAAGTCTCTTTTTCTCTTTTTATTCTCCCTCCCTTACTTCCCCATTCCTCCATCTCACACCATCTTATGTTTTAGGGGCAATATTCCCAAAGGAAGGTAGTAATCCAAGAAATAGCTGGAAGCTGGTTGCCAGGGGCTGAGGCAAGTTCCTGGTGTGATCTCAGGCTGAGCACCAGTTAGGAATAGTGCAACCCAGCAGCATCATGGCCGGTCTTTCAGCCCGTCTGCAGCTCTTCCTGGAACAAAGGCCCTTTCCTGTGTTTGAACTCACCGCCAATGGCTGTCCTACCAAAGGTAAACAGCATCAGTCTAAGCAAACTACTCTGTTTCCAAAAGAAAGCTTTTAACTTTCCTGCTGGAGGAGGCAGGAGGGGGTTGTTTGAGGACTGGGTGGAGGAGAGGGAGGAGGTTAGACCAGAGGAAACACAAGTGACCCTGGAGCCTTGCCCTGCTGTGTTTCTTTCTTTTCTTTTCTTTTTTTTTCTTTTCACCTCTCTCATTATTTTTGGCTGGCTCCTTTGTGCATGCTGCCTTCTATTCACTGACAGCTGCTTTGAACATCAGTCATATCAGGTCATCTGCCAAGCTGTGCGCCTCTGGTCACATTGCTCTGAGGCCTCCGGTTTTTCAGCTTCAAAGCACCTCACAAGCAGTGACTTGCCTCCTTTGGAGAGGGTGTTAAAAGAAGGGGAAGCCTGTGACGGACTCATGAAACCTCTGGTGTTAAGGCTGGAAGCTTCGATCTCATTTTGCAGAGGAAGAAATTAGGACTGAAGAAGAGTTGCAGAGGCCTACTTCCTGGTCCTTGTGGTCAGTAAGTGGAAGGGCCAGGGGTAGAAGCCAGATCTGTTCATGTCTGGTCTGAAGGTGTTCTTCCCACTCTTTGGATTTCAAACCATATTTCTCAAGAAGTCTTAGCCTACCTCAGATGTGCCTCATTGATGACAACATTTTAAGAATGAGATGGGTGAAGGGGTGGGGCTAGAAGAATGCCCCGTGGATGGAACCATCCTCCTCCTCCAAGTGGAACCTCTTCTTTTTGCTCTCATTCACTCACGTTTTCATTCATTCGTTCAAAGTTCCTTATTGAGCAACTTTCACATGCCAAGTGGCTTCCAGACACTGGAATACAATGGTGATCCAGCAAAGTCTGATTCCCATGAAACTTACATTCTGTTGTTTGAATTTGTTCCCAAGGAGGATTATTTTTTTGGTGAAAGCGTCCTGTTGATTTTTTCCTCCTTTAAAGAATTTTTCCAACATCTAGCCTTCAGATTATTAACTGGTATTCATTAAGCACTTGCAACACTAAGTATAGATTTTGCCACCACCTAAAGCAAATTAGCTGCTGATCTTCTAACCCATGGTAATGTAAAATCTATAAAGAAAAGACAGCTAAAGAGAGAACTTGACTAGAAAACATCCCCCCCACTCACTAACAAATGTTGGAAAGAAATAAACATGTCAGTGGCATAGATGGTGAGTTAAACTCCTGTGGCTTGTAGTCTACCAAGGGCCACTAATACACTCACTGTTTTGTTATCCCATATGTGATGTAAGGAGGTGAAAAAATATGTGACAATTTTACTACAGACCTACTTGGTTGGGTATGGTGAAGGTGGGTACAAGCAGTTAACAGACTTAGTTAATTTCGTAGTCAAATTTTGAGATCCACCCACCTACAAATATTCCTACCTGGGATTTTTGGTCTGAAAATTTAGAGCCAAAATTGTAAACTAGCAAAAGATAACTGCTACATAGCAAATAATAACAAAACTAACTGGTTTTTTGAAAAAATGCTTATTATCTCATATTTCTGTGGGGCAGGAATTCAGAAAGCATATCTGAGTGGTTTGGTTAAGGATCTTTGATGAGGTTGCAGTCAGTGTGGTAGGGGCTGCCATTGTCTGAAAGTGTGACTGAGCCAGATGCTCCATTGCCAAGACAGTGCACTCACAATGCTGTTAGTGGGAGCCCTCAGTTTCTCTCCATGTGGTCTTTTCCACATGTTACTTGGGTCATGACATGGCTGCTAATTTCTCCCCAAAGCAAGCAATCCAAGAAAGAGTAAACAAGGAGGGGACTCCAATGCCTTCAATGACTGTGTCTTCTAAGTCCCTTACTGTCACTTCTTCCTTATCCTGATTTTATGGAACAAATCACTAAGTCTAACCCACACTAAAAAGATGAGGAACTAGATGTCATCTCTCAAAGAAAGGAATATTGACGAATTTGGAGATGTATTTTAAAACCCTAATGCTAGGTTCCCTTCACATATATAATTAATTTTTTCTTAGATTATTTTATTTTGGGAAGGTCTTGCTGTTGCCAAGGCTATAGTGTAGTGGGGTGATCACTGCTTACTGCTCATTGCAGCATTGACCTCCCAGCCTCAAGCAATCCTCCCACCTCAGCCTTTCAAGTAGCTGGGACCACAGGCGTACGCCACTCTGCCCAGCTAATTTTCTTATTTTCCTTCTGTAGAGGCAGGCCTTACTATGTTGACCAGGCTGGTTTCAAACTCCTAGCCTCAAGCAGTTCTAATCTTGGCCACCCAAAGCGTGGGGATTACAAGCATGAGCCACCATGCCTGGCCCAATTCTATATTTAAAGTATAGATTCCACATAAATATTCAGTTTTTGTCTTATTTTTAAAAAATAAGATCTGTTCACACTAGGCCTATGTGCTCACAAAGCACTTTATATTGAACACAGGCTCTTCAGTTTGCCATGATCACCACTAAGCCCTCTGTATTACACATGGCACACTTACTTAACACATGTGTTACCTGCTTGGCTCATTTAAATCACTGAGTTTAGAGCTAAATACTGATCTAGATCTAATGAGGCTGAAGACATGGCAATGGAATTGAAGAAGGAAGAAGCCTGACCCCTGGTGTGAGTTGTATCCCAGAAGATTGGGAAATGAGACAGGTTGTGGGTTTTCTTAGAGTGGCAGCAACCTTGCATCACACCTGCATTGGGCTGTGTAGATGACAGGGGCAGGAGATCTGGGCATGAGGCAGGCAATAGGTCAAATAGATTTGGCAGATGTTCCTGTGATGGAACTTGACACTGAGTGTGTAGAGTCACCAGGAGAACCAGCCCCCTTTGAGAGGACCATGAATGACCCAGCATGGATCAAGGCTCAGTGCTGTCTTCCTAAGATTGCCTGAGTCCTATGTCTGGGACAACCTAAGGAAGGGTGTGGGATCCATGAAAAATAATGACATAGAATTGTTAGCCAACTTTGCCAAGGAGGGGAGCTCTAATCATATTTAGTTTAATGTATAAAAATAAAGTTATTTCCTGACCCTGGTGTGCCACAGACACATCAATAAGCATTTAGAATGCTTGAAGAGAGCCTGCAAACAGAAGAAAAGGTCTTTACAACCTCTCTGGAGGAGACTGTGAAAAGGTGAGCTTTACTAAGTTATAGAAATGAAGACTGGAGAATGATGAGCCTAATAATAACCCACAGTTGACAGTGCACTCAAAGGCTGTTAGTGGGAGCCCTCAGTTTCTCTCCATGTGGCCCTCTCCATAGGTTACTTGGGTATCCTCATGACATGGCTGCTAATTTCCCCTCAAAGCAAGCAATCCAAGAAAGAGAAAACAAGGAGGGCTTGCTTTACTTTTAATATGACTATGAACATTCCCCAACTTAAAAATGTTTGTTTACTCCTACCAGATATTTGGAGCTCAGACTGCATGTTCCTTGATGGTTAAGTCCACAAACCAGTTGTGATACGGTGAAGTGTATATTTGGCATTAGTCCCCTTCCTGGCATACAACTCCTAAAATTCTTGGAATCTTCAAAATGATGTGTCTTTTGATATGCTAATGAGCTGACTGGTGGCTGGGAGCCCAAGTTAGCTTCAGGATGGGGGCTGGTCACAGGAAAGACCCGAGTTGGGACTCTCAGCTTCACCCCCCAACCTGCAGGAAGGGGAGAGGGGCTGAAGGTTAAACTGATCATCAATGGCCAGTGATTTAGCCAATCATCACAGTGTAATGAAGCTTTCATAAAAACCCAAAAGGACTGGGTTTGAGAGCTTCTGGATGGCATACCCAGAGAGGACATGGAAGTTCTGCCCTCCTTCCTCCATATTTTGTTCTGTCCAACTCTTCATCTTCTGCTCATTGGTATCCTTTGTAATATCCTTAAAAATAAACCAGTAAAGGTAAATAAGTCTTTACCTGAGTTCTGTGAGCCACTCTAGCCAATTAATTGAACCAATTAATTGAGGAGGGGGTCATGGGCACCCTGAGGTATAGCTGATTAGTCAGAAGTAAAGGTGAAACAACCTGGGGCTTTCGATTGGCACCTGAAGGGGAGGCTAGTATCATGGGACTGAATCCTCAACCTGTGGGATCTGATGCTATCTCCAGGTAGATGGTGTTGACATTGAATTGAATTAGGACACCCTACTGGTGTCTGCTGCAGAATTGGTTGATTCCTAGGTATGTGGGGAAAACTCC